CCTTGAATTCCCTTTGATTTGGACTCTCCCTTCCTTCTTGCCATCTGGCCTAAGCTTACACATCCTTGGGGTTTGAATTAAACAGGGAGTATTCTGGAAGGAGTCGCCAGTGGTCCCCAGTGGAGTCAAGTGGTCTTCTTGTATTTTGAAACTCTGTGTCTCATTAGTACTTAGCACACTGCCACACAACCTAATGTTTTGGGATTCACTTTCATGTGAACAGTCGGGGACCATGAGATCAAGGGGCTTTTATCTGTCTTACTCCCCAGCTGATCTCCAGTGTTGGGTTTGAGTATGTTATGACTGCTTCCAGCTGGATGGGCTGTTGGATGGATGCATGCAGGTTAGTGGCCTGTTTCAAAGAGACCACGTTATAGCAGGAATATCCTAAGGTGATCTTAATATTGGGGAGATACACATATTGGGGAGATACACAAACTCTCTTTGCTGCAGATCCCATTAAGAAAACTCCCCAAAGAGGGGATGTTATTAAATTTTGAGAACAATATAATGGGAAAGAATACTTGTCATCTGTTAGTGAAATGTCCTGAATTCACAGGAAGAGGAAGTTGAGGACAAAAGAGATAAAGGATCTTGTCAAGCCACACTGTACTTTATGGTCAGAGCTCTGGGGGGGAGTGTGGCCTGCACGGTCTCCTATGAGGATCACAGGAACCAAATAAATTCTCTAAAGTTTCCGAGGCAAACAAGCCACACAGATCGGGGGGCAGGGACTGTTTGCCGCATCTTCAGGGCTCCGTGTTTTTAGCGTCTAAAAAGTCCTGTGAAAGATGATGAATTCCTGGATTAGACACACAAGGCTTCCTTCCAATCTACTTGGTAGGTATTATTTTGTCTATGGTGTCCTAAGGTAGCAAGCTTATTCAAAAGTAAATTATTAGTAAACATTTGCAAGTGAGTAACAAATTATTTCCCGGCACTCAGCTCCTTCCTCCAGACACACACTTGAAATTTGTAAAGACTCTATTCTGTAAGAATGCTTGAACCTCTCCCTAAATCATAACACGGGTAAACTTACTGAAATATTTTTACAATTTTATTAGAGGTTTTAATTCACTGCTTTATCTATCTCTGTTAGACTGTAAAATAGCTTTAAATATTCAAGTGGTAATTAATGAATCTTTTATGTTGCAAATCAAACATTTTCAACTATGTGCTACTACAGGAGCAAAGAGGCAGGTTCTGGGGAAGGACCCTTTCTCCCTCATCTGTGCTGTTGACTGCCATTTATCTGATATTGGGGAGCCGGTCACATTTACTTTCTCTGCCCCGTGGGTTAATGCTCAGCGTGGACATTGTCTGCTGTCTTTCTGTAGGTCAGGATTTCTTGACATGTTGCTTGCCAGAGACATTCCCAGCTAAATGGAAAGTCTTTGGATGTGGAATTTTTGCTTGAGTGCAAAATAATAAAAAGCATGTGTATTTTTTAAAAAAAGGATCAGTTTAATGGCAAATGAGCATTGGCTTAGATTAATATTCTATTACAGTAAAAACTTATATTTAATAAATTTTCTCTATTCCCCCCCTTTCCCCCTGAATCTCACATATTTTTCTAAGTGGCATGCCAACATAAAGAAAGTATATATGATACATTTGATTTATGTTAAGTCAATAGCGTGTGCAAGCCATTTAAAATTGCATTTTAAGTGTAGAAATATAATCCCAAAGAAACACATACAGTGCCATACATTGAGAAGGGTTAGATGTGTTAGCCTGCTGGAGGCTGACATCCCTTCTAAATATTATTCTATTTAGAAGATATTTTTGAAATGTGGTGTTGTGTATCAGCTTTCAATAAAGCAAATCCAACGTACTGCAGTTTCATTTGGAATAGGAAGGTGAGTGGACATTAAAAACTTCACAAAACAAAATAGTTTTCCTTGCCTCTGCCAGTCACTAATGAGAAATGAGTGGGTGAGATGCTACCAAAAAGGCTCACAAAAGGAGTGACAAATTCCACAACAGAACCCATGATGGCCACCTTGTTGTTTTTCCAGGGCCCTATTTTATACTGGTCTTGGTGACATTTATGTATCAGAGCAATAAGCTAAACAGGAAACAATTTGTGTCACCTAAAGCTTTTTTTAACAAATCGATACAACTATTTGTAATTGCTTGTTTCATGAAATTAAAAGTGCCAGGCCTGGTCTTCGCCCATGGATTTGTGGTTAACCTGACCTATGCCTCCACAGATAGAAAGAGAGAGAGAGAGAGAGAGAGAGAGGGGGGGGGAGGGAGGGAGGGAAAAAGAAAGGAAAAAGGATAGTTGATCAGCACAGACTTCCATCAAATAATCCATATTGCTAATATTTCTGGAATTTTAATGTAGTTACAATTTATAGCTGATCAAATGTGGTTACCTAAATTGCTGTTGGTAGTAGACAGTTTAACTGTCTATATTAATTACAGTATAATTTAATGTTCGAGTACCGCCACTTGTGTTGGTCATTTTTACAGCTCAAGTACTTATCTGCCTTATGACGAACCATTTTAGCATTTTCAATGGAAATGTGCTAAAATGATGAGTGATAAAAATGTCATGGGCTGGTAAATAATGATCATCGCCTTAGCTGAGATTAATTCTTGAAAGGCCGGTTACCTTCAATTAACATTGTAACTCACAGCTTGTCCTGCCATCTTGGTTTGAGGCTGGGGAGCAGAGGCGATTGTTGATAGCTTCAGATGGGTAAATTAACATATATGTATTTGATATTATGCCTCCAGTATGGTTTTACTAGTCAAAGTAGGAATAAAATGGTATAGGGCTGTAGAGTGTGTGTGTGTGTGTGTGGTGTTTAAAAAATCAATATAAGTGCTGTAGGCTGATTTTTGTTGTTATTTGAGACAGGGTTTCTGTGTAGCTTTGGCTGTCCTGGAATTTCTCGGTAGACTGGGCTGTACTCAAACTTACTAAGATCCACCTGCCTCTGTCTTCTGGGTGCTGGAATTAAAGGAATGTACCATCACTGCCAGTTGAGTGATGGTTTTCAAATCCACACATTATTCCACAGTTATGCCGGCAGTTTTGCATTTAATTTCCTTCTGATATGAATTCTGTCTTAAACTGTTCATCAGTCTAACTAGAGCCTTAAATGAAAACTTGAGACCCAACTTCGATTTCAGTAAGGGATACTTGGATTTGATTCAACTACAATGAAAAGCTAAATTGTCATTACTCGTCTACACATAAATATGTGCACTACTAAAGAAGACAACCTACTAAAAAGGCTAGTTGTATTGTTTATCCATTTTTTTGCTCAGAGGTTTATGTTACAGCTCCCTGTGTTGTTTTATAGAGAGACCTTATGCTCTTTATATAAAAGGTCCCTGTTTAATAGAAGAAGCTGTTTTGAGTTAGCTGCTTTATAGGAAGAGCAAGCTTGAGATGAATCTTTTAAGAGTATCCTTGCTATGGAATGATTCCTGAAATGCAATTTAAAATATGGTGTGGATTGGCCAGCTGAACTTCCACTAATACTCTCATACTTGCACGGGTCCTGGGGTGTTTTAGTAGGGATATGTGTGCACAGCTAACAGTATACCCTGTGAGCAGCATCTGTGTTTAAGCCAAGCAATTAAGGGGATTTCAGTTGACCCTGATATTATATTCTTAGCAGCTAGGTGAGAATTAAAGGTTGAAATGTTTTGCTAATTATCAGACGAGGGTGCTTGCAGAATGGCAGAGCAATCAATGAGAAGAGGATACTGATTCCTCTCTTGATAACAATATCTACTTGTTTAAAAGGAAATAAAAAGGAGTCAGGCATGGAGGCACATTGTCTATAATCCTAACATTTGAGAGGCTGAGGCAGGAGGATTGCTGCAAATTTCAGGCAGGTTGCCTGATTTTCCTAGGGGAATTCTGAACCAGCCAGGACTACATAATGAGACCTTGTCTCAAAATGTAAACAAACAAACAACCCAAAACAAAACAAAATCATACTGTTGTAGAAAAAGTAAACTGTAGATTCATAAACAATGCAGGAAAGTCCCTTCTAATCCTGCTCCAAAATAAGCAGGCACACTGTGCTGGGAAAGACTCCTGCAAGGTCACTAGTCATCTCAAAGCCTTACTGGTGTGCTTGGAATTACATAGAGGCAATAGTTCTTGTGATGCTGTGGTCTGGTCACTCCCAGGTTGTTTTGATGTTTTGTTGTTGTTGAGACAGAGTCTATGTAGCCTTGGCTGTCCTGGAACTCACTGTGTAGACCAGGTTGGCCTCAAGCTCAGAGATAAGCCTGTCTCTGCCTCCCCAGTGCTAGGATTAAAGGTGTGCACCACCACGTGTAGCTTTGTAGTGTTCCTTTCAGCATATTACCAGTGAGAATTGTGTTAAAGACACAGTATCATCCATCAGTCTTTAGAATACATATGATGGGATGAAGCTAAGGAGAGAATGCACATTTTTCTATAAGTATAGAATTAAAAATAATCTCCAGTGGTGGTTTCCTGGGACCCAGGGCTCTCCCTCCAGTCCTGCTGTCTTTTCTGTGTGGTTAACCCAGCACACTTTTGATAGAGCATTTTTATAAGATCATTCGTTCTAATCTAAGCATTTATCATTATATGCAAAAGCTTTGCTGATGAGAATACTGTAGATGGTGCATGGTTTTGACGTTAGCATTTTATTTGGATGACTGATCTTGCAGATGTGAAATGTCAATGAATTATTCATGAAATTGCTTTCCCCCAAAATTTTAGTTTGGCTCTTCTTGTTAGTTATTAAACCTTTGGTTGTTTTTTTTTTTTTCTCCTTATCAATTTGATGAAAAAGAGAGCATGCTCTTTCAGATGGAGCCGGCCCTTCCACTGTTTCTTGGAACCCTTCTTCCAATAGCTTCCCTTAGCTTGCTCACCAGGTTGCTGTGAATCTGGCATGGAGGAGCTGCTGCTAAGGGACAGCTTGTGGCATGTGCCTGCCATACAGTCTCAGCAGGTCAGAAGTGAGGGAAAAAACTTAGGCTGTGGCAACTTTGTCTACCAGTGTGAACAACCAGCATTTTTATTGCATTTGAGAACGCTCTCATGTCAGTCACTAGTACTGACTACACAACATTTTTTTTTTTTTTTTATTGTCTGTATCCACAGACATGGAATGATGGAATTACAGTTGATGTCAAGGAATGAGATTCTTTTATGCCTTATCAAAACAAAACAAAACAAAACAATCCTTGTTAGTGGCAGCACATAAACATAGAGCACCACGCTCACAACCCAGACCGCACCATCTCCACCCAGGCTCCTGGGTAGCAGGGACTGCATCGAGTTACAGTGGACCCACGAGACGCCATTAGAATTGTCCATTTGCTTCTCAGGATAATTAAAGTGAAACCGAGTTGCAAAACACTTCCAGACTGTCAGGAGGGTATGGCATTGACCAAAGGGTACCAAAAAGATTCAAAGTCATTAGCAGAGTCTGCTTTATGCCCTTGGAGACAGAGCTTAGCTAGAATGTGGAAAAAGAGGAGACTTTTCAATGCGATTTCATGTGACGTTAAAAAATAAGAGCTAGTGATTTACATTACATTTTGGTTCTATTATTTTGTTTATCTTTTAAACCAAAGCTTGCTTTATTATGGCTGACGGGATGCTGGGAATGTCAAGTCAACTGTCTTCTGATGTGGGGAGGGCACTGGCAGCTAGGTCACCATGTACATAAGTCTTGATGGATCACCCTTTGGTGCCCCAATACGGCAGCCTAAGCCTTTTCACATGGATAGACCCTAGGAACAACAAAGATGGATCATCATCATGACTGAGTGTGTCTGACACATGGGCCAACCTCCCTCATGTTTGCTTGGCTTTTACTAAGAAAAAAAAAAAAAAGAAAAGAGAAAGAAAAAGTAACAAATTGTCTTTACACCTTGGGACCTTGTAAATTTTTTTATACAAAAATTTCAATATTTTTCAACACTTCCCATTATTAATCACTACTTTACTGATAAAACTTTGAAAGTGTGACCTTGGAATTTCATCATGCAAAAATATTGACTGCAGCAGGAGAGAACTTTTTTTTAAAACAACTTTTTTTTTTTCTCTTTTCAAACTTAGGAACTTGTTTAAGATAATCAAAAAGGCAGTGGCAGGATAAACACAAGGAACAGGAATGTATCAAAAACAGATCCACACACACATACACTCACACACCCGTTCACACACACCCGCACACACACACACACACACACACACACACACACACCCCACCCCACAAACCTGTACAAAATGTTTCAATTAATGAGAATAGGAAACAAATTATGTCAACTATGTTACAATTTAAAAGCCAAAAAAAAAAAAAAAAGTGTTCTGGAGTTTCTTCTTTCCTCCCACATGTCAACATGTCATCCAATGTTCATAAATCAAGGGTAATGAAATAAAATACATGTGCAGCATTGACTGCAAATCCATTACATACAGTAGATTTTTCCCCCAAAGATACTGTGGTTTTCTTCTGTTTTAAAGTATCATTAATAAAATGCAGTTGCACAAAAAGCAAAGATGTTTTGACAAACAGGTGTATGCATTTATTCCTCTTTAGGAACAATACCTAAAAAATAAAATAATTAAAAAAAAAAGAGCTGCCCTCGGCCCTCCCCCACAAAAGACAAAGATTCACACAGACACATCGGGATATATGTACAACCGAATCAACCCCATTCTAAAGAAGCGACCATAATTCCCCCCCCAAGGGACAGAATCAGAACTGTAAAACTCAGAGTGAAAATTGCTTGCTGTAAAGCCTGAGAACTTTTTTTTTTAAAGTTGGTTCTTCTGCAAGGCTGTGACACCTGCAAAGATATGTAAAATCTAATTTTTCTTTTTTCTTTATTTTTTTGCTACAGTCTTTAGACTAAGCATGCAAGACATACGACTAAGTGCAACTGAGTGAAATGTATATTTTTAAAAATTTTTTTTAATCATTCCCTAAAGGTTTGAACTGAGGTATGCGTACTAACAGTTCTCATGCTGTTATCTTTACTCATGTCTAGCTACACATGCTGAGAATGAACTAATCTACCAGATTTTTATCCTCTTTTGAATATCTAACCAGCAACCACTCAGTTTAGAAGCACAGGCCCCCCTCTCCCATGACCCTGCCTGGCTACTGCCTGCACATCATGAAGCTGCCTAGAAAAGTGGGGGTTGGGGGCATGAGTAACCACAGACTGCCCCTCTACGGAAAGCAGAGCAAAGCTTCAGAAGTAATTGCCAAAGACGTTCTATTCTAAGCTGATGAGTGGATGGGAATGCTACCTTTTCGTGTGTGTGTAAAGGAAAAATGCTGACCAAACCGTAGTCTGAGAAAGGAAAAACAACAACAAAAAGCAGGAAGAATCTAGAACTAGAGGATATATGTGCCAAGATAAAACAAAACTAATGCAGTGATCACAGCACAGCCCTTAAACAAAAGTGGCATACCAATGTTCTAAAAAAAAAAAAAAAAAAAAAAAAAAAAAACCAAAAACAAAACCAAAAACTCTTTATTCTAGAAGTGGCCTAGTGCAGTCAGACACTTTTCTGTTCTCCTAAGTCATCCTAAGTGTCTCCTTGATTTACACACTAATTTCAGCATCATACATTCATTTCTTTTTCTGAGATGGTATCTCATTCTTTCCGTAGGAGCTATAATACTGTTTTCCTGTTTGTATTTTTTTTTTTCTCTGCAGTAGCCCCATATTTTCTCCTTACAGGAGTTAGTTTTGGTCTCTGTACAAGTACAGAAAAGGAAAAGGAAAAAAAGTAGAAAAAAGTAAAAAACTTTGGTTCCATTGCCTACTTAGTCTGCTAAATGAACTCTGTTGGAGGGGCAGTTATTTCCCTCGGGTTGGCAAACAGCCTGGACCTCATCATTTGCCTCTGAATCCTTTTGCCTCCTTTGATCAACAATAAGAGGATATTTGGCTTCATCAGATAAAGCATAAAAGAAAATAATTTACCTTTGCATAATATCTTTGGTAATTTTAGAAATAAAAGGTACAAAGTATATAAATTAAGCTTCGAAAGGCTCTCCAACTAAACCCAAACAAAAAGCTACAGCCCTAGATAAATAAATGCCAGGGAAGTGGGTGCAGATGGAAGTGTGGAGGGGTTTGAAGGGCTGAGGGGTATACCGACCTAGAGCCATCGAATTCTGTGGGCCCTGGTCCCAGAAGCCTCAGTCTGTCTACTGGTGTCACCTGTTAAGTCTGTGCTACTCGGGTGGTGTGAGACTATCACACTGCAGGCTCAACTGCAGTGTAGACTCTGCATCCTGGAAACCAACACATCACCATCTACTGGGCTCAGTGCTCATTAGCTCCCATAATAAGTGCAAGGTGATGTCTCGTTTGCATTAAAATAGATGAGCGCCACCAAGCTGGTCTCAACCGATGCACAAACTCAGCACTATCACCATGTTGAGTAAAGTTAGTCAGGGAAGCTGGCTTTTTGGTCATTTTGCAAACAAAGCAACCCCTGCTGTTAAGGACGACACAGAATCTGTGGTCCTGGCCACTTGATTATAAGGGGGTGGGGGGGAGAGCCTTCCGTGGTCATCATGCCAGTCTAATTATTAAGGATTGTTTACTCTTGTCATCGTCTCCTCTTGGCTGTGTTTCCTGACGTTGAGAGAATGTGGCAGCAGTTACTCACAATGGCGGGCTCTATGAAAAGAAAAATCTCCAACATTCCCATCCCACCCCAATACTGCTTTTGTGAAATGAATCTGCTATGTTCCTAGAGTATGTGCGTGTGTTTCTCTCTCCTTTTCTGTCATTCGTTCTCTTTCTGGCAGGACACCATGTCCCTGTGAGAGGACCTTCAGGTGTAAGGTGCAGCCTTTGGGATCTTTTTTTTTTTTTTAATTTTTGGAAAAAAAGACCAAAACGGAATGTTTTGTTTTGTTTTTTTAAACTTGAGAGAAACGTGGTGATGTCTATAGGAAAATGGAATGAGTGCCAGAAAACTACAGACGAGAAATGACATTCAGCTTTGTATAATAAAAACACCTATTAACATTCATCACAAGGTACAGAAAACGTGAAGCCTCCAAGAGGCCATGGGCCCAAATGGAGGCCTGAGGTCAGAACTTAAAATGGTATAGAAGAAGCAAAAAAAAAAAAAAAAAAAAAAAAAAAAAAAAAAAAAAAAAAGCAATACATTAAAAAGTTTGGGATAATTATTTTTAACCCCTCCCCCCAATAAACACACAAAGGCCTTCCCCATCCCAACTGGAAGCAAAAACAAAAACAAAAACAAACAAACAAAAAGAAAACCAAAGTGAGTAAAGGCAGTGATATCAACATGCAGTGCTGTGCAAATAGGTCGTCCACTGGAATCTTGAATTCGGGCGAAGGCTTGGTCTGCGGCGCAGGTGCGCGAGCTCAGTCGGGTGTCCTCGGTGTCGGCCTTGGCAGGACAAAACTGCAGTTCAAAGTCTGCTGCTAAAAGTGAATCCGTTTATCGAATTTACAACACTGATGTTGACTCAAAGAGGAAAATCCCAAGTACCAAACAGGTCCATCCAATGCACAGAGTACAAATCCCTTTTGTCAACAAAAAGTAGAAAAATCAAAAATACTCCCAAATGGGATTCTTGATGGCACTAAGAGTTAACACATTTCAGAGTTGTCAAAATGTAGCGAAAAATCCTCCAGACTGTACAACAAGCGGAGAAAGGTTTCACTGCTAACTTTTGACGTGTTATTTTTTTTTTTAATTTGTTTTTGTTTTGCTTTTTTCCCAATCTTCTGTCTCAGGGGTCGGCCCGCCCAGAGGTTCACTCCATGTCCTCATTTACTGGTTCGTCTTCATAATCTCTGTCATGGTCAAAATCTGGACTGTGGTTGGCTGTTGTCACTAAGGACAGAGGCCCTTCCGCTTCCTCAGGGTCAAGGGGTTCCTCTTTGACGTGTACAGGGTGCCTACAGAGGGAGAGAGAAACAGGCTTAGAGGGCTTCTGGATTGATGTACATACAACTGGTGTTGGGGTAACTTAGAAGATGTATCCTATAGCAACAACACTATCCAGTAGAGGCAGAGTCACCCTGGCCACGTGTGTTTTTCAAATATGGTGGGAAACTTGCTATAACTTCATGTCTGTTGTCATTTTCACTGCCTACATCCCAAGGGTCTAGGGACCACATGTGTCCAGGGGCTTCTGGGCCACTCAATGAAAGATCTGGTGGACATCCCTGTTTTAGGAAGGATTCTGTACAGAAATTATTTCTCCTGCTTTTCAGGACGCATGAGTTACTGGAGGGCCTTGTGACGTACAGCGGATGGAGCTCAGACTCTGTGTTTCTAAGAGATTCCGGGTGATGGTGCTGGTCCTGGGACCACACTTCGGAGTGCCAAATAACAGGCCTCGTAGAGACATCCTGGGTGGATGAATGCCACCCTGCAAGTAATTACGTGAAACGGGAATCTGTAATACGGCAGTGGTTCATGGGGACCACTGAGCACAGGAGGCTGGCTGGGCTAATCATGACTCGCTGTGTGTTCTGCTCTGCTAGTTAACATGCAGACCCTGTGAAAGAACCCTCCAGAGGACGACCCCAAGCGAGGGTCTATCATTAATCAACTTCAAGCAAACACAGCAGAGAGACACCATGATACATGCTTGAAGCTCCAAATTAATGCATATTTTTACAAACTGTCAATAAGGCAAGAAAAGCCCTGCCAGGAAACACAAACGGAGAGGAAAAGGCTTGCTCAACACAACGATATGATAAGAGAGCAGAGCCCCAATCAGAATAATAACACTGTCAGCTGTAAACAAGGCAAAACATGAGGCCCGGCTGGTAGCCGCCACCCGGACACTCCAGCTACCTTGAGAGCTGCCAACTTTCTCATTATGGACTGGGGCTTGGTTCATCTAAAGGAGGCTGGCATGATCACACAAAACCTCTCTGATAACAACTGTGAAAAGCTGTTCGTAAATCATATTTACAACTGATCTCTTGCAAATACAAATGACTTTCTGTTTCAGGGGGGCTTTTGATATGCAAAAGAACCATTCAAGTTCAAATGTGCCCATCTCCAAGACAGGCTGCAAAAGTGAGGGACTTATAATGGACATTATCAAGTATTAGTAATAAGAGGTGGTACCGGGGATGGCTGGTTTCCTAAATAATTGATGCTGTATGCAAGCCCCAAGGGCCCCTGGAACCATTTAAAAACAAACAGGGGCCTGCCCTGGAAGACAGGAACCTTCAAAATCAATTGACCCTAAAATTAGCACAGCATAGAGGGAGTTTGGGGGTGGGGGGGCTAGATGTCAGATAAAAATAGCTTTAAACAATTATACCCATATTCCTAACAACTATTCTTAATAGTTGTGCTTGTCTTTGTTTCTGAAATAAGGCCTAGGCCTGGCAATTGAGTCTTCAGAGTTCCTGAACAAAAAATATTCACTTCAAGAGGAAAATCAAACACTGCAAAGAGGGCAGTGTCCTTCCATGCTTGGGGTGCCATGCCATTGAACATGTCACATGCCTTGTAGCCAGCCCCGATTATGGTTACTGCCAGCCTCTCCCTTCCCTTTGGGGGACATATTATTACATGCTTTAGACACAGAAGGAATTATTTTCTTTATTTTTTGTAATTTGTTGGCTTTTCCATTAACAGTTTTTCTGGTAATGTGTGATTCCATCTGTTGATAAGTGGGTCCCTCTACACTGGGCATTTTGCAGGCCCTTCTTTCCCCTCTGCTGTTTGCGTAGTACAGTGAACCACTGCTAGCCATTAATCTTACTCCTTCTGTTGATTTACCTCCTTGGGATAAATGTCTAAGAATGCAATTGTTGGAGCAGAGGCCAAAACATCTTTATGACTCTCCTGATTTATTGGGGTATTAATTTGCTGAGGGGTGCTACCAAGTGAGACTCAATGTCAGTGTCCCAAGTGTTACTTTGAAAAAGCAGTTTGTGGTCTTACAGGTGTGTGGTACACTCCAAGATACCTTGAACCGCAACCCCTGCATTACCGGCCACAGTGGACGTTTAGTTCTGTCTCCTGATTTCACTACAGGGAGAGCTCTGAATTCACCAATCATTCCATGAACTGACTGTGTGGGCTTAGTAATGTCCAGCAGCAGGAATTTGCCCTTTAAAAATAATTTTTTAAAGCAGTTACTGAGGCTCAACTGCTATTCTCCAGAATACCACTTTTCTGCTTAAATTTTTAAAAGCTATCATACTTAGTACTTATCAATCTCTGGTTCGCAAGGTGCAGTCTAATGACAATACACAAAGTCTTAGAGGTATGGATTGGATACACTAGGAAAATATAGACTCATCCTAATGTGACCTTCTTGCTTTACAACTGTAAATCATCGCTTTCTAGATCCAGCCCCAAACAACAAGAACAACAAACGGAAAGCTTCCCCAAATTGGAGTTGTTAACACCAGAGACTATTCTGTTCTCCCCAAAACTCATTGAGTATTTACTGTGCCCAAACGTGGGTAATGATGCTGACACATTTGCATGGTCTACCCCAGTGCTTAACATAGAATGGATGGCCAACAAAAACGGCCGACTACATCTACTGTGCAACGACCTGACAGTCTACTCCAGGTATGACAGTAAGGATTCTTCAGTCTTCCATATGAGATTCAGACCATTGTTAAAGTCTTCCCTCCCACTGGGAGTTACACACAGTATGCCAGCTACAGAATAGGGCTACACAGTGGGTGTCTCTCTTAAGCCTCCCCTTACCAGGCCTACTATTTCCAAAAGGGCTCCCAAGGGATAATGGAGCAAAACACCATCTCTCTGTTCCCCTTACATCTGAGTAATCCTTTGTACTGCCTTCCTGGGTACATATGGGTTTTTAACTATAGACAACTAGTGTTTCAAGGCATTGTGTCCCTGTTCAGGGTGCACACACAGCACAGAGCCCTTTGGTACGGTGGCCCTTTAGCTCCTACCAGAATGAAAGTATGCTGCCCCCAAACCATTATTATGCAGCTACCTTCTACAGGTTTTTTTTTCTTTCTTTTTCTTTTTCTTTTTTTTTTTTTTTTTTGAAAGAGAAAGGCAATGCTGTGGTTTGTGTCATAGCAAAGTGAAGAGCATGGAGCTGTATTACAACACTGCCTACGTGCTGGGCCAGCTTCCTAACAGTGTCTTGTAAGCCTTGTTGTAAAGTTTATGGCTTGATTTATTCCAATAGACTGGAACAGTTAAAAAACAATTTGCATCCTAGCAGGGTAATGCACACTGGACAAGAATGAAATCTCTGTCATTACAGAACTCACTTAATGGAAGTCTGGGGTCAGCAAGTCTAACTGGCTGTGACACTCATAGTAGCACAGTGAAGCTGTTGTCGGCACAGAGCACCACGGGGCACATGGTGCAAACCTGACGTGTGAGCATCACGCTTTGATAGCATGATGCAGGGGGTTTTTCTTTCTTTCAAGCTGTTGAGCCTTTGCTTTGTTTCACATTAGGATGACTGCTGTAAAATACAGTTTTTTTTTTTTTAAGTACATATGCAGTTCATTCAATCTTGTTAAGCAATTGAACTTCCAACATGGATAGGCCTGTCTCTGTGGTCCTTCCTTCCTTCCTTCCTTCCTTCCTTCCTTCCTTCCTTCCTTCCTTCCTTCCTTCCTTCCTTCCACATGGATTACACCTTGAGTTTGAACAGACTGTGAGAAAACACTGCATCTTCCACTCCGTAACTTCATATATTTTTCCTCAATGGCTGTCTTGGAGTGGCTCATATGCCTGAACTTTAATGTTATTCTGAACTTTCTGAATATTGAAATAAAATGTCCCAAAATGGTAAATATCGGTGAGATAACAAAAGAGTCAGAAACACCAGCTTGCTTTAGAGAAGACAAATTTGGTGGCAATAGTGGGAAAGACATATACATTCTTAAAATACTAGCGTGTCAGTGCTGGGAAACTATGCCCACAAATTAAAAGCCATCACCCCCACCTCTAAAGATCCCCTTTAGAGCACTCAGGGCATGGGATTAAAATGCTAGAAAGCAAAATCTCAGATTTCCCCCATTATGCTGGCAGATACCATTCCCCCCCCTTTGTCACAAGATGCCAGTTCATTCCGTTTCTACTTGTTAAAGGTCACATTTTCCATTCCCATCCCTCAAATTTCCTAAAATAAGATGTTGGTCAGTAATCCAGAAAGAATGTGTAGACAAGTGGCCTATTCTTGGAGCGGACAGCACTGGAAAACACTGAACTAGTTTAGTCCCTCAATGTGGGTCATGGTTTTGGAGAAGAAACTCGCTGAAAAAGGGAGACTGCCATTAGCAGCTTGGGTCACTGCACACCCCTGCACCTGGAATCACACGGTTTCTTTTCTGTCGTTGGACCCTTCCTAGGAACAAAAGGGGGACTATGGCAGAGGCAGTGTTTTCCAACCTTCACCCGCCACAAAGAGACCCCCCCCCCGGGTGGCCTTGATGAGATCTGTGTGGTCCTGGTGCCATTCACATTCAGCCCAGGCGACCATTGCCCATTGCTTCTCTCAGTTATATGTTCTCTCATTATCCTGCCGTCTGCTGCTGTAATGCTCCTATTAATTTTCCTTTTGATATTTTAAGAGCAATCTATAAATCATGCCGCCTTTCATTTGTGCCATCATTAATGCTTGGTAATAATGCTGCGGTGCCGAGCTCAAGTGGTTAAACTTAGTGTACAACCAAGTAAACACGCATCTTTTCCCTTGCTGGGTTCGGCTTGCCTGGCAGTTGAATGCACCATGGGCTTTCTCAAAGAGGTGTATACTGATTTTAGGACAAAAATCACAGTGTGACTTAAGTAATGGTCTGAGACACAAAGTGGAGGAAACTTCTCATTAAGCCAACTGCTTTTACAGAGAGTTACTAACTAGTCCTTTTACGCGCTAACAAGTGACACCGAGGCTCTTAAGAAATCAGAAATGATAGGAAAGGTGCCTAGAAGGGCTAGAGAAGACTGCCCTTGAGCATTTAACAGGGAGACTGGGATCAGGTGACAAAGAGCTTTGGGTAGACAGTACTCACACAGCTTGCATAGGGGATCTGCCCGGACTGCTATCACTCTCGTTGCTGTTGGTGTGTTCCATGGCCCCGTTCAGCTCCTCCCGGATGGCACTGGCCAGGTTGCCCAGAGTGGGATTTCCCATGGAAGCGGTAGTGTACAGAGGTATGCTGTTCTCAGCCATGGAAGCCTGCATCAACCAAAAGAAACCCAATGAAATTGTAGGGCAAGCAAGACAAGAAAGCTCTGTGTTAGGAATGTGTGGTGTGTTTGATAGTCTTTGGTTCAAGTTCACTATATTGTGCCTGACAATTTCCAGGAGCTGTATGACTTTGCTTCCAAGCTGTAGGAGCCCTGGGCTTCATTTGGATGAGCTATCTGAGTACCGCTGAGTCCATGGATGATGTCGCCTGCTGGGTCCTGCCTTGTGGAGTCATATGGTTTAGACAAAAGTATCTAATATGAAGTGTATATCCAATGCCATTTTTTTCAAGAAGAACTGAATATTTCCAGCTCATAGTGAAATATAATGGAATTTTCATTTCTTTATCCACTTTGATGACTCCACTATTGGATATCCAAGATTTGATCAGATTATATGGCCACATGGCTCAAATTTATGAGAACTTCCATAAACACCCATAGTAAAGGAAGAGGTTATAGAACTGGAATCAATTTTTTCTCGCCCATCATTCCCATTTTAATGACTTTTGAACCTGCTTAGTGAAGGCTGACATAACCAGATGAAGGCAACACCCTAGGCTTCCAGCCTCAGACCAATCATGGAGGACTTTGGAAGAGAAGGAGAATCTCTAGCAAAAAGAAAGGCTACATTACTTCCTTTACAACTAAGTATATCGATATTAAAGGTGACAAAGTGAGAGACAGCCAAAAAAAAAAAAAAAAAGTACAGGAAAGAACCACTGTCTCCAAGACACAAAAAAGTTCACCAAAAACTAAAGTCTGGTAGACTACTGTTCCTTTTCTGTCATACCAAATGTGACTATTATGGCCACCCTGTCTGCAATGTGGACAGTTGTCAAAAAAATAACCACGGGACTGAAGGAACCCCATTTGTTTCACTTGGGTAGAAAGTGTGCCCCAGTGACTTTTCATTTTATTATTCAGGAGGACAGACTTGGAAAAAGAGGCAGCTGTAATTAGATGAAGATTTATCAAAATTGTCTTCTTGCAGACTACACTATGCCTGGTTTTCCATCCTAATGAGAGAAAGTACGATCACAAGACAATCTGGCAGAGTGGCTTCAGTTGGCCCATCATGTGAGAGTCCTAACTATTCTAGAAAAGCTGGCACCAAAGAGAAGGTACGAGCCAGGAACAAAAGGAAACAGGAGCGGAGCTGGGCTGCAGTGAGTCTGCCTGCTAGTCAGTTGCAGTCTTGCTCCCGGTGTAAAACCCAGTGTCTCCCTCTTTCCAATGTGGACCTATCTGCTTCTCTTGTATAAGTAAAGGGAGGAGGTTTGTATCTCCTGCTTTCCCAGTGTGGTGACCACTTCCCACTCTTCTATGGCTTGTCAGATAATCTTCTTCCATCCAGCACTTTCCGAATGCATCTTTTATAATTGCAATAAAACATTGCTATTCTTTTGGGGCAGAACAGTTGGCAGAGCAATAGTACTGCCAGCTGCAGCTGGGCAGCCATCTTCAGCTGCCTTATGTGAGACCACACAGTGGTCACACTTTGCTGCCACTAAGTGCTGCCTAGACTGTCAACTGCGTAGCCCTCTTTCTGGAAATACCATGGGATCTGCTCTCCCTGGACAACCGCACTGTTACATGGTCAGGTTGGGAAGGAGCTGGGGCCATTGCTACCTTGGTATTTTATTGGATTCTGAAAAGCAAAATCATGGAAACAACTAGAGTCTGTTAGGGTGATTGTCTGTTATTCTTTTTTTATTCTCAAAATATTATGGGTGAAAGACACTTCTGACTGACGAGACCTAGTCTTGGTCCCTTAACTCTCAGACACAACCTAAGTGCAGAGAACCAGTCTTGTGCCTTTAAACAAAACACTAGCCACTGGGCTACAGTAGGATTGGCCCACCACTATGCCTCCTGAATAGTGTTTTGCAGAGTGAAGGATCAGGGCAACCCACAAATTATCACCTTCTAACAGGTCCTTCCTATAGCTGATGCTCTGAGGAGCAGGTGTGTCACAGTGTTTATAATGGAGTTAATTACATAAGCGATACTGGGCACAGTGAGTGGCTTCATATCAAACTGGCACCTCTGCCAGAAACACAAAGGTTCCTAAGTGATGGCACATGAGTCCGTAAGCACCACGGCGTCTGCAACGTTAACTGCTCTGCGCTCCCCGGGGAAAAGGCAGTCTATAAATATGAAGCTTTACAGTTACCCGTAGTTACTTCACTTTTTCAGAGCATAATGCAATCTGTCCCGAGCCCCATGTTTTATTTCTGTAGTGGATTCTGCTGTCCTATTTTATAAATTGTATATCATGCCGTTATGTCGCTCTAGTAATTTTTTTTAAAAGATACTGTTGCACTGTTATTTTTACTTGCCTCGAAAAATGGAAGTGGGTGATAATGGAAAGGCAGGCCTGCTGGTGGGGGTCTTTATTTAATTTGCATGGCAGGAAGCTGTCTCGTATGATTGGATGTCTACTGGTGGGGAATCCAAATTCAAGAGGAGGGGCCAAGGAGATACTCCTTAAAGTGTTCCTGGAAAGCTGCAGGACAGTTTTGGGTGAGCAGGGGAAACACGGAAGTGCGCAGTGGGTGCAAAAAACAAAGGTCTGGGAGATGAAGCGTGAACGCGTCTGTAACGATAAAGCTTGCTAATTGAAATCAGTCACATAGTTAAGGGAATCCAAAGAACGAGGCTCCTTACTTCTTTTTTTTCCCTTTCCGCCTCGTGAATGTAAAATATGCTTGTAATTTTAATACCAATCCACATAGAGCCGCCTTTAAATTCATACTTCACAAGACTCCAGGGAAAATAAGTTACTAATGCATGGTATTTACAGTGGCAGTGTGTAAGCGGGCTTTCATTTACTCTTCTAAAGTTACTATGTAAACCACAAGTAATTAAAAGAAACGCAGAGAGGCAGAGAGTAGTTTCTCCTAGTAAATTTGATTCAGGCTAAAAAGAAATAAATAGAATTACTGAGATGCTCAGTTCAGTGGGTCTGCCCTGAACTGTGTCAGGGGCACATTATCCTTAAGGAGCCCGAGGATGCTGCGGGTGAGCTGGGAAGACAGGTCTGTGGCTAGCAGAATAGGGGCTCAGTTAATATTTGTTTAGCAAGTGGAGAGAATCAGGCTGCTGTCAATGCCTCTTCCTCCCCCTTCCAGTTCCCATAATGCCATGTGTTCCAAGCCTTTTCCCACTGGCATCCCTTTTGGGGGGTTTGTTTCTCTATTTCTGCCTTCACTTGGGCTTTTCTGAAGGACCATAACACTTTCGAGACATCACAGAATCCAACAGCCAATTCTGCCACAGTATTCACACTCAACAGTGCTAGTAGTATGCAATGGCTAAAGGGAGATTTGTCTGTAGCCCATGTGATATAAATGTTGCAAGATTCTTTTTGGCATGTCTTCTAGAATAATCAAGGTTTGGGGTTTTTGTTTTCCTAAACAGAAACAATGGCTACAAGGATCCTGGCTACCCCTGAGCTCTTAAGGGAGATCTGAGTATGGCATCAGGTATTTAAAGTAAGTGATACCAGACACGCTGCTAATCTTAGAAATAACTTGGTGGTGTGCTAACTGTGAGGAGCAAGGAACTCAAGACTGGCTAGACACACCGGTCTTCCCTCCCGTCGCTCACATCCAGGGCGTGCACCTTCTAGGACCCTCGTTGAGGTAATGTGTGATTTATTTGCCAGTAGGAAAGAAAGATTCTTTTCGATGATGATTAGGTTTTCCTGAACAACTATCTGGAAGTGTCCACTTTCCTAAAGCTTTCTGCTGCTTAAACAGTTGACTTATACAAGAGGAAACAAACCCAGACCCCACTCCCACTGAAAGAAAAGGTGTTGAAATGGACTTTAATAAAGCCTCGCTTTCTCTTTAAACCTGTGAACAATGGAAGGTCATGTGACACGGTGGCCTATCATCCAGCACATTAATAGCTGTGCTAGAGTAATTACACTTGTGGTATTTTTGCCTCAAGTGAAATTCTGAAATAAGACGATGGAAATTATGATACTGCTGATAAATATTAATAAGTGAACTTTTAATTTTTTTTTGCCACAATATTCAAAATGCTGAGCATCCTGCTAACGCTGAAGCAGCCCGATGTGTTTGCCTCCGGGGAGAACGATGCTTTGCGCACTTAAGAAAAAAGTTTAACGGAATTAAAATTTAATATCTAATTAGAGCGAGGCTAATATATTTTGAAATGAGTGGGGGAGCCCTGCGCCTGTGCTGCAGATTGGGAATGGCCGTTAATCTTACCTGTAAGGCTGCATTGAGAGGTGTGCAGTAGGCGTGGCTGCTCTGCATGTTTTTAATAAGGGAAGGGTTACTGTATAAGAAAAAAGATAAAGACTCAAAGTTAAATGCAATCCACCCAGGGGTCCGAGCTAAGTTTTGTCTTTATGCTCACTGGTAGCCTTTCCACATTAGAAATTCTTCCCCCTCCCGGCCACCAAACTGAAGGGAAAGTTAAAGCTTATTTATATCTGTGTCTGGGGGTTGGTCTGGGTGAATACCTCCATAGATGGACCTGGCTGCTCACCCTGGAGAAGCTGTCTTGTATAATAACACATGGGTATTTCCCTCAGAGGCCAGTCTGCAAAGGGTTAGTTGCTGCCCACACTCCAGTAGGAAGGTGAGAGCCTGGCATGAGGGCAGGCTGCCTGAGACTGCACGGGGAGTCTCTGCTAGGAGGCTTCACTCTTAGTTGAACTTGACCCTGACTGCTAGGGGAACAACACCATTATTCCTACATTGTAAAGTAGGAGCTTTGGCTGTTGTCTTTCCTGCACAGCCCAGTCTGGGAGAGCACATTCTAATTTGGTGTTGTTTCTGTTGGCTAGGTAAAAGGAGCCAAGATACCTTTTTTGTCTTTAAAGAAAAATATCCCTGCCCTATTTAAAATAAAATAATAAATTAAAAAAAACACTACAAAATTATACTGGACATACTAAGGGAAAGTGTGGCTTCCAGTACATAATGAGGTTCATTTATCAACAGACTTTGAAGGAAATGACATTATCAATCTTTTCCCTGTGCTTAGGACAATGTGGTTTTCAGTTTTGGAGTCAGGGTCTCTCGACAAAGTCCAGGCTGCACTGGAGTGTGTGATCCTCCTTCCTCGGCCTCCTGGGGCTTGTCACTACAGGCATGCAGCCCTATGCCCAGCTTGCTAGGCACATTCGTAGTTATTCATATTTACTATTACTTGAGTGTTCACACAGAAAAAAAAAAAAAAAACATTATCCCACAAGACATAACTGTAACCATCACTTCCTTTCACTTGCAGGGATTGTGGGTAACACAAGAAATACCTAGCTTTGAGGGTCCCCGTAAGCTGCTGGATCAAAATACAGTCACAATCATTGATATTAAAGACATTTTTTTTTTAAAGCATTGTTCTAGGCACTGGCGTTCCAAAGAGAAACGAGCGAGGTACATGTACAAGTCACACCGTTTGGTTTCTGTTGCGGAAAGCTGTGGCACTGCTCTGGGGTGAAATGTCATACTCCATGGGATGAGTCAACCATGCAAAGCCAAAGCAACAGCAGAAACAAAAGAACAAAGCAAGTAAAGGCTCTTACTGTGCGCCAAGCTCGTCAGAGTTTTCACCGGGGCAGTATTTGCGAGGACGGCCTCGTTGAATATGGCGGCCACGTATAAACTCTTCATCATCAACTGTCCAAAAGGACCCAAACTCATCCTCTACTCTGATAAAGCACTTATGCAGTGAGAGGTTGGTGCGAATGGCACCCTGGGATAGGAGCAGCAGCAAAGGAGATGGAGTGGCAACAAAAGGAGACGGGGTTGGGGGCAGAACAGACATCCAATACAGGGAACAGGAAAAAGAAAATAAAATGCAATAAGCATAAGCAAATGGCTTGTGAGGGTTAATATGCAACGCCGCCTAAAAGCTACTAGCATGTGATGTAACAGAGACCAGCAAGCAGGGGCAGGGGGACTGGTGGGTATACGAGACAGGAGGGATGAAATGCTCTTTTTGTTTCCCTTAACTGAGACAACATGAAAACCAGTTCTTTGGTCTGACGCCGCCTAGCAGCCTCTACGTTAACACTTGTTAGCACAATCCGAGCTGGGCTAAGAAGTTCAAACATGGCGGACGTACCCACTGATCTTTTGTGGCCTCCGTTTTTGGAACTCTACTTCATCCACTGTCCATACTGCCCCTTTAACGTTCTCTACTCGCACAAAACACTTGTGAAGACTAAGATTATGACGCACTGCATTCTGCAGCAAGTATAAAAGAGAGAACATTGACATGTTTTTCTATAAGAAAAGACTCGGGAAAAAAAAAAACACAGCAGTACATTCAGCACCCCCCTCTGTAAAACCATCCCCCAGAGCTGTAGCCACCCCACCTCCCACTCCGTGAAGGACTTTAAGTGTCTTTTCCAAGAAAAAACCCAAATTATGGATTAATGGTACTCCGGCATTGAAGCCTAATATCTGGTACCATGTGACCAGAAGCTACACTGGTAAATACGCATGCAAGCCCCAAGCAGGTCCCTCTACATAAATCTAAAATACTGTTAAAACGATGTCAAAACCAGGAGCTGTATAAGGTATAAAAACTATTCTTTAACAGACCCATCTATGTGGGATTCATAAAAGTGTATTTATTTTTAAATCATGAAAGGTGAACACTTTGAAATATACAGCAATGTCTGGCTTAGAAACCATGCATAGGCTTTATTAAAGGAAAGTTTTAAATAGGATTTTACCACTGAGAGTACCACCATGCATAGCCAAGATGACTAGGGGGTGACCTCAGCACCAAGGGATCGGTCTCAACCATCAAGCTAAGCCTTACCTTCCAGAATGTTTATGAACATGGGTAATTACTAGGGAAACACTTTTAAGTAATTGAGCAAATGCCAAGAACATACAAGGAGGACTCTCAATGGCAAAATGACTATGCTCTTGCACTTGGTTTCTACATTTAAGACTCATTGTTGGCCATTGCTAAGTGGGACCCTTCACGTCTAACAAAAAGGACGCTCTTTAATTCTAGTGGGGAAAGAGCTTTAAATGTCTCCTATTTCTAGGAAAATCCACAACCCTGACTGGATAACCAAACTGGATAGACTTTAGTCCTGCCTGGCTGACTTCCTGATCCACACTCCATGGACTTGAAATGGTTTTGCTCATACAGAGGAAGTGACTCAGTTGGGGCCGAGGAACTGACATCTATTGAGCTTTTGGCACCTTCTACCAGCATTGCTGTTTCTCAGACAGGCTACACTCTTTTCCTACAGTAATTTTCTCTCTTAGTGGCAAATCTTGAAACTCTGAGAGGCCTTTCAGATTTCTGGATAATGATAATTGGATTCAGGTCACCTAAAAGTTATTCTTCTGTGTGATAGTACTGAGTGGATAACAGGACAAATTTTATTTCGTATGTGATGATGTGTGCACGGCTGGGATCCACAGAAAGAGCTCAAAGGGGTGTGTGTGAACACAGCTGGAAGTAGATTCGAGATACCAATGTGACTAATCAAAGGATATCCTTGATTGAAAAACTTTTTGATGAGCTGCTTAATAACAAAACCCTAGGCATATAAAGGTAACCTAGCTTTTAAGGAAATAATTTCTTCTTTATATTTCACAGGGAATTACTTCCTCCAATGGTATGAAGGACACAGAAGTAAATAAAGTCAGTTCCCTTTCCAAATCAAGAGAGCACATGGACACACATATGTGAGAGACAGCTGGGGAACAAGACAGCATCAATCACTGCAGGAAATTTTACCCAAGTATCAAAATGCACAAAACCTGAAAGACTCCAGAGGCCATTCCTGATAAAAGAATGACTGTATGATTTTGAGGGCTATACATTAAAACAGAAGGAAACTAAAAATCAAAAGTTGGATTTAAAAAAAAAAGAAAAGAAAAGATGAATGACACTATTTCCTTTTGTCTTTTAAATCATTGTCCCAATACGGACACAGAGAAAACTATCTATATTGATGACTCACTGGGTATTTCTACGAGACTGCTTGTATTAGTGACAATTCTACCTTTACTCTGCAAAGCTGAAAAAATGAGAAGTGAGTTGATATTCATATTCACAACTGGCAATTATTTTTAAATGTGATCAGTTGGTATTTATAAAAAGCAATTTGAAGAAAATGCCCACTTTATGCTTCTCCTTAAATTTTTAAGAGTTGTAGCTAAAGAGCCTTTGTATTTTATCTCCTGAGGCAGGCTGGGAAAGAGGCTAAGATCTGCAATACAAGTTTCCTGTCAGCCCCCATGTGGCTACTGAATTAATTCTGTGCCTATACTTATTTTCTTATATGATGTGAGAAAACCAAAACAGGTTTCTTCCTATTAAATGAAGGAAGTGGTATCCTGTAATACCACCTACTGAAATTACAGAAAAGACAAAGCCTAAATACTAGGTGCTACTAAAAAGATCTACTTGGCAGAGTGTAATAAATTAAAAGCAAGAAGCTGAAAAATGCTGTGAAGGCTATTTGTGTAGCCCAGCTTGAACTTGTACTCACAATCTTCCTACTTCTCCAAAGCTGGGATTATTGGCATGTACCACCATGCCTACCCAGTAGGGCTTAAGGTAACATATGGAATAGGTACCAGTGAAACCTAGAGGGAACTCCAAGCATTTTCGGGGGTTATCTAGTGGAGTTACGGAATTTGACCTTTTCTATGGCAAATGGCATCATATTACATAGTTACGAAATGACCTTTCTTCCTCAGGGTAACCATGAGCCCTGAATGGGAATCCTTGCATTCCTCAGAAACCACCCTAGTCACTGTGAGCACATGGATTACACAGCTACCTCTACCTGTGGGATTGGTGAGCTATGATCTAACCACTAAAGGATCTTATTCAGTTTGGTTGTATCTCTAGGTTCCTAAACGCAGCCCTATAAATGACTGTCAGTTACCCGATAATCAATGACATGTGGTTTGTGTAAGCAAAAAGGCCATCCTCAGAGTTAAGGGTCACAGTGTCATCTCCTTTCCCTGTATTCACACCTCTCTTGTAGGGGTCAGGGGTTGGGTACCTCTTCCATTTGAGCATTTCAACCACAACAAAACCCTTCTCCCAGGTGCATTCCCAGTGCAAATGGAATATTCTCGTCACCCCATAACTGAATTTTCCCCACTAGAACCTCTGTTCTATAAAGGTCAAATGCAAGACTGCAAAGCCTACCTTCCACGTGGCTGCGTTGCGTCGGAAGTAAGCAAACATTCGTGTGAACCAGTTATAGATTTCGTTTAGTGTTAGCTGCTTTTCTGGAGATTCGAGAATGGCCTGTGAAGCAAAAGGGATCCAAAGACTGTTCGTAAAAATGTTAAAATAAAAACAAAAGAAATAAACATGAGCACACAAACTGGAACTTGGAGCAAACTCCTCAGACAGGTTTCACAAAATGATCGAAGATTAATGGTTGTATTTAAACAGTTCAATAGCAAAACTCGAAATGGAATTATCTAATTGTTTGGAGTTTTTATTTCTGTTTCCGTACAGAAATATTAATTTATTAGTCATTCATAAAGCAGAATCAAAGAGAAATGCAAAACATTTCACTAGCTGATTAAAGCTCAGTAATTATTTAGAGCTCAGATTAATTCTAGGGTTCAGAGATTACTGTAGCTTTGTGATAATTGACTTGCCATCTTTAAACAGCCTCATTCGCACTGTTGTGTGAAATGAATTCCCTAATAATCACATCGTATTGTAATACTTAATCAAAAGCAATTATGTTATATATTGCAGTTTTAAAAAACCTTATAGAAAAGGTTTTAGCATGCTTGCATACTAAGTGGTTTTAAATCTACTTCATCAATATGATATATCCACGTAAACCTTTTGGGTAGCATTTCATGGTCTGCATTATTTACTTACCTGCCTAATTAAAGATGCATATGTAAATGGTGGTCTAACTTCTGCGTTCTTATAAAATTCTTGGTTCTGCGCAATATCTGCTAAATATAAGAATCATTGTCCTATTAATGATCACTTTTTAAAAAGGGGACCATTGACAGGAACAGCAGATTCCCCATGCCGCCCCTGGCAAAGACAGAGTAGCTACCTGAAGAAATGGGGACGTTGTATTTGTCTGAGTACCGCCTGCGGATCGGTCCCACCGTGTGCATGCTGGTGGTGGTGATGACAGAGGGGCCTTGGGTGACGGGAGTTAGTGGGGCGGTCGGGGTCGTTGGGGTATGAGGTAAGCTCTGTGGAGAAGCCTCTGATGCGGACTTGGAGAGGGTGACACTTGAAACCAGATTCAGCTATGAGGAGAACAAGGTTGGTTAGGAGGACTTGAGAAAAGCAAAACCAAAACAAGTCAAACAACAACAGAAACCCCAGGAATCAAGAAAGCTGCTCTCTTCCCACAGGAAAGACAAGCGGACACCTGGTATGTTTACACAGAATTCACTTCCAAACAGAGATATTTTCCTTTCTATGACAGCGAGGCTGAGGACTGAAGGAATGCCAGCTGGGCTACCGTGGCATAAACCTGGCTTGTCCTGGACGACTCTGGGCAATGTACTATTACAACTAGAAAGCTGTGCTGCTGCCTAAATATTTTCCCCCTTAAAATTGCAGTAGACTTACTAAGTGGCCACTTAGGACTCTGAGCCACGAGAGACCAGCAAGAAGTTATGAGACTTGAGTCCTTCATGGAACTGAACAGACCGTGGGGCTCTGCATGACGGACCTTGTGGCTCCCACTCGACAGTGGCACGGACTCAGGAGGCCCACATCTATTCCTTCGAAGTTGTAACATATGGTTGCTTTTTAAAGTTTTAAACAGTCCAGCTATGGAAGTGAATATTATCTGAAGCATTATAGAGCAGCATTCGTGAACAACCCTTCCTTCCTTCTAGTCTACTACACACTTTCTTCCAGTTCTTACACTATGGGGAAGGCATGACCCTTTTCCAGAATTGACTGGGACAGGAAAACTCCCTTGAGTTTGGCAATGCAGAAGAACCTAGTGTTTTTCGTCATGTTTATGGAGGTATCAAATACTCAGAGATCCTCTCCCAAACCCCAAAAAACTTCTACAAAGTACACTCTTACATTTCACATTTACCACATTTCAAATCAGTTACCACAATGTCTATTTTGCCATTGTCAGACTCGACATTAAGCACAAGTATTATTTATGGATGGTATTAAAAGTGAGTCTTTTGCTCCAGTGTATTGCAAAGAGTTGATTTTAAATCACACACTAGAAATGAACGAGAACACGAAAATCTTCGCTGTGCAGTAAGTCCCAAGGGAAGAGAATGGAAAGATCCGAACATTAACAGAAAAACCCAAATTTGGTGCTCCGAGATAAACAGTGGGCTGCGAGCTTTCAGCACTGCTTTTCTTTCTGTGTTCAGGTTGAAATACTGACTCAGCACACCACAAGCCCCCAGTGCCCAAGAAGAGCGAACTGGGGAGATTGCATACACTTGCTGACCTTCAGCAAGCAGGGACAATGTGGTAAGCTGCCCTCCCAATGGCGCTAGAAGGTTGACCATGACACACATTTGCAAACCAAGTGCTAATAGTTCAAAGTAGAGGCCAGGGACAGGGCACAGAGAGATGTCAATGGAGAAGAGCAAAGGCCAACCTCTTCTTCCCTTCAAGCCTTAATAAGTGCCCAAGTCCGGGAACTGTATGTATTAGCATAAGCCAAAGGGGGTGGAGTCAAGAAAACTAGTATAGGAAGATCCCAAATACATTGCTTTGATCATTCAGCTGCTGTAATGCCTAAGCATAAGGAGACTTTGGAAAGCCACAGGTATCGTTCACAAAAATTCATGCTCTGAAACACCTGCCCCAAGAGACTTCATTTTATTTACAGGCCACTACAAATGGCTCATGTTTTATGGAGAATGAAGGAGATGCTTACCCATACCCTTACCCAGACCCAAAGTCAAACCACATCCTGTGTGGCCCCCTTCTACTTGTGCCCAGTTCGTGTCTAACATCAACACTATAGCCATTCCTACTTCTCTGGTGTGCTTGCTTTTGGAAAGGCTTCCATGAACAGCTTTTAACCTTGTTTACAAATGGCGTTCAATAAATATTACCAAGAACTTCTAAAGGCCTGGAAGCAGGACTAAACCACAGAACTTCTGTCCTTGAAGTGCTTGGTATAGAAAGCAGACATAAAATCCAGACAGCAACTCTGGGGCCTCACCCTAGTTCTTGACTTCTCCTTTTAGCCTAAAAAACATTATCCCATACACCTGGACTTTCTCAGAAAACAACAAAAATGACGAGCACGAGAGTCCACAGGCTCTCTTCCAGTTTGTAAGGATGTTTGGCAAGTCCTAAGGAACCATTCAGTAGGTATAAGCCAAATGCCCAGATCTGAGAAGAACTGATGAACCCATACAAAGACATGGCATCAACGCACAGATTTGGCTCTCGTAGCTTTTGTAAGCAGCTTAATATTTGGACCAGTTCTGCTGGAGACAGCAACAAGGAAAAAACAGATCCCTCCAGGTTTGCCCAAACCAGGGAGAGGGTAACTCAGGCTGAATTTTCTGGATGTTTTCAAATGTAGGTAGGAACTAGAAATAAACACTGAGCTAGGAGAGAGGGGTTTACCAGGCTTGACAAATGACACCATGATTCACACCCACTGCTGGGCTGTCTCTAATAAGCCACAGAGGAAGCAGCCAATCTCAGCTAATTACCAGATAAAAATGTATTGTAAGGACTCTAATTAGGAGATGCGGATGGAGGTGATCTAACGATTAAATGGTGCATTCGACTGACCCCACCATCAATGCGCAGTGGTGCACAATGTCGCTGGAATATTTTGTAGAAACAGTCATTTTATTTCAGGGAGGGGAGACAGTAATATTTGTAATGATGGCTATGAGGTAAACTAATTAAAAGACAGTTCCTAGAGGAAAAGGGTGTCTGGGAGCAGCTGTGGCCATTCCAAACCCAAGTGCCAAGTCTCAATGGAAGGGCTTCAGTCAAGTGGAAAATTTCTGCCTGACCTCTGCCCTTGCTATTAATTTGCAGAAAAACTAATGACACATATACATATTCCCACAAAATTGTTCTAATTGCTAATTTGCCAAAGGAGCCTAGACTTTAAATTAAACATGACTGTAGCCTGAGAGCAAAGAACAAAAAGCTGGGAACTCCAAACAGGGAGAGCTCTGCCATGCAAGACCATCAGAAGGGTGGACCAACAAGTTAATGAGACATCACTCTGGCAGCTGCGGTGCAAGTTTCTCAACTTTTAAACTTCTGACTGGAGATCACATGGGTGTCTCGAGGAGAAGCCATATTTTTGAGAAAAGGGGAGGGGGCACCAGGAAAGATTGAAAATACACTGTTCACATAAACCATACTCTTACAGTGGAAGACTCTACCAAAAATGTTGAAAATGAAATAATAACATGCTACCACAGGCTTAGAAGAGCAAACTGGGGCACTGGGGGCTGGGGGTGGGATGCTCAGTCAGGAAAGAGCTGGCCCAAGGATGGAGGCCTGAGTTCACCTCCCCAGCACCCACAGGTGTGATGGTTCAAGCCTATAATGCCAGCCCTAGGACAACAGAGACAGGAGGAACGCTGGTACTTGTTGGCAAAAAAAACCTAGTTGAATCAGTGTTCCAGGTTCAGTGAGAGATTCTGTCTCAAAAATAAGTTGGAGAAATGATTGAAAAAGACATGGAATGTTGACCTCTGACCACCACACACACACACACACACACACACACACACACACACACACCAGGAACAATCACACAGAGGCATATACATACAAACACACAGATAAAAGAGCAAATCAGGAACAGTGGTGTGGGTTTTTTGAAGTTACCTTGAAATATGCATCTTAATTGTAAATTATTAAATTTCTGGGCAATCATCAAGGAGAAAGGAAAGCCTCCTGTTTCATTTCTCTAAGTGTAGGTAAGGGTTTAGAAGAGATTTTATTTTCAGGGCACAGGCATGGAGCAGGAAGGGATTGGACTGGGAGGGTTTCTTTCCCTCATGGAAAGCCCATTTTTCTCATTGTGTTCATTTTTCTATTTAAGAAGAGGTTGCTATGTTTAGAAAAGCTAGTAACGCAGATATTTTTCTCCATGGCAAGTTGCCACTGAAGGGATGATCTCAGCAAAGATAATCTCTTTCAAACTCTGGCCAGGAGCTAAATTCTTATGTCACTTAAAGTTGCTGCGGGCTTTTGGTTTTTAAATAAAAACACAAACAACTGTGCTACCAAGCCCCGACTTTTACCTCAGTTTGGTTACTGAAGGACTTTCCTGGAAGCTTCTATCACTGAAACTATCCCAACTATCAGCTACCCAATATTGTACTTTGTCCTTTGGAAAAACAAAAATCAATCTTTAGTTTTTCCACAGCACACTCCCTTCAAGAGTAAGGATGGTGAGTCACCCTCATTTAAGAAAAAAAATAAAAAATAAACAAACCGCTGATGCAAACCCCAGACAGAAGCAGACTTGTTAGGGAGTATTCCCACAAGAACCCATTTTTTTGTTTTTGTTTGTGCTCTTGCTTCTCATGAAAACAGATTCTGAGAACAAAAGAAAAACCTGAAACCCAAACACCAGAGACCAGCTCTGCACAGGGGGGACTCTGGGCTCACCCAACTGGTTTCTCGGCTGTTAGCTGGATAGGCCTGAGAGGCCTAGGTCCTGCCCTCACCTGCAGTGTTCTGAGACTGGAGGCTGCCTTTGTAGGCATGAATCACCAAGTTCAGACTCCATGGACAGAGGGCAGGGCAGTGGATGGCAGGGGGGAGGCCTTTGGGAAGGACTCTGTGCTCTGATGGGAACCTGGCTTATTCTAGAGACTCAGAGGGTGGCACTCCTGGCAGAGACATGAACAACAAACCCGAGCTGAGGTGAGGATGGGGACTTCACAAAAAGCAGTCTATAAAACAGCTTTTGTGTGCTGTATTTGAGAGTCCCTCTATGACAGGCCACCATTGCTGCCCCGAGGCCCCTGCAGCCTGCACCTGGTCACCCATCCCTTGAAGTTCACAGGCTCTTTTTTTCCAAGGGGATGGAGGGGCCGTGCTGTTTTTATAGGAGCTAAAAACTATTTCAAAACAGTCCTAATGGCTATAGTTAGAGTCAAAGAAAATGTGCAAAGAGGATAATCTCAAGGTGCATTTCATTCCAAAAGTGCTGTTCGAATTTTTCATAAAGCAGGCTCCACTACCTGTGCTGTAACTGCTTGCCCACCAAATCTCAAAGAATGTGGTTTCTCCAGGCCTGAGGAGTAGTTCTCACAAGTGCAGGAATCCCCAAAGGGAAGACGTTTCTCCCTCCCCATTATGAGGTGGGTTTACACTGCACACTCCTAACACCAGCATAGCAAAACGGCTTTGTAAAAAGTCACCGACAACTTAATAAAGTCCTAACACAGACATGTTTCCTTTTGTTGTCCTTCTGTGTTGAGTTACATCTCAGCCAATTCTTCATGGAGTTAAGTATAGACACGACATTGTGCTGCTCACTCTGGGAATGGAACTGGGTTTGGAACAAAGGAATGGCAGACTATTTTCTCCTTTTTTTGCTGTTGCTTCTCTTTCCGTGGGAAACAGAAGAACTTTTAAATCTTAAACTACAACAAATTTGGCTATTGTAAACATATGTCAACAACAGCCTTTTCTCTCTTGGTACCTAGCTGCTAGAACTTGCTGGATTCTAGCTAAGCCTTTTTTCTATGCAGGGCCTGGCTCGAATGACAGTAGACTTCCAAGATTGGTGATTCCTTTCCTTCCTCCATTCTGACCCTCATCATACATGTTTCTTTCCAACTGCTATCCTCAGACATACTGCAATCCTCTGTGTACCCATTCCTCACCAGAGGAAGAGCTGGGAAACTGACCTCTTTCCTTGTAGATAATCCTACTCAGCTTCTAGGTTTCAAATGGCACATTGTTTTTCCAGGTCACTTTTCCTAGTCACATACAGCATTCTCTATGCAACAAATAATGTGTGGATATGTATACATATGTGTGGATATATGATGCAATTATTTGGAAGATTGTTTGCAAGACTCCAAACGCCTCCATGACAAGTACAGGTCTTTCCCGTTTGACCATATTCAGTATGTCATCATGGCCAAGTTACTTCCCCTTGACAGAATGGTTTGATGCCTAAGTTCAGGAATTCCAATTCTGAGTAAAGAGATGTGATGACCATCAGAAGATGTGCTACCCAAGGAGTCAGCAGGACACAAGGCTGGGGGAGATACTGTTCCCATCAGGCATACGTTTGCAGCCCATTGTGGGTGGACCTCAGAGCCTTGTCTACACCCTTGGGCACTGTCCTGGGAATGTGCACATCCTGTCACTATCCAAACCTAAAGATGAACCCTACTCTGGGATCCAGAAAATGTATCTCTAATGTAAGAGCCATCTGAGAATGTGCTGGCAGCTCTCGGATGGGAGGAACCAGGGACACAGTGGACCACTGGGTACAAAAAGACACTTACCACCCAAATGGCATTTAGGGAAGTGCAACATTTACAGCTAAGTACTCTATCACTTAGTGACTAAGAATTTTAAAATAAACACCAAGTTCCTTTTAAACAGAAATGGAAAAAGAAACAACTTCATAAACTCACTGGCGAGGCTGTAATGTGGACGTCCCCATCTATGGTTAGATGTGAAACTCAGTGACTGCTTATTTCAAACCACAGATGCTAGAGTGATACTCATTCAAACGCTCACCAGCCGTTCCATTATTTAGGGTGGAATAAATTAATTACAGGCTGTAGGGAATATTCTGAACGTTAGGATCAGTCACCAGATAGCTCTGAGTCCCTAAAGTTGAAAGCATCAAGGGGCCTGAAATATGCATGGCCTTTTTTTCCCCCTTTCTTTTCTTTTGGCAAGGAAGTGAAAATTTATGCAAAACATTACACGTCTATCTTTTATAATTAATTTTCCAATGCCTCACCTATACATATTTTAATAATTCCTGATTTATAAGATGGTATCTATAATAAAATTTTCTATTTTCCAATAAATGAAAAGGAGGCAGGTTCACTCCGACAACAGAGTGTCACACAATATCTATGTGTCAGGCACCAATTTTTACTTCTTACATGTAAGTTAAAGGATAAGGAATTTATAATGCTGCCTGTGAGGGGACCACTTTTCATACACAAATGTGATTTTTTTTTCCAAAGGGTAATACAACAGTACATTTACATAAACTAATCCAAACAATCTATGTATTTGACAATGGCAAACCTCACACAGACGGGCTATTGTTGGTTTACATCTTGGAGTTCTTTATACTGGCTTGTAGCACCGCTCTAGCTGTCAAAGGTTTGACTTGGACGCTAAATAAATGGTTATAGAAGTGCTGTGCAGCGATATTGGACTTCTTTGCAAAAGAAAACCTGCTGTGTATGAATTCAAAAGCTATTAATTTTTCAGTCAAAAATATTCGTGCCTATTTCTTTTAATAAAGAAATACTGTGCTGAGCTACTAAGAGATAATGTTGACTAGTGGTAGAGAATTTTCAATAGAGCAGTTAAAAATAAATTTAGTAGGAGGTCCCCTTCAAAGTTATAATTTTCTAGAATGTAAAACATTTTTTTTTCAATACTAATCAAGACAAACCTTCCTTCCCTGTTCATTCCTTCACCCCCCAGCTGCTTCTCTCTTGTTTATTGGCTGCTTAGCACTGGTCCATATGGAGACAGAGCATCAAGGGTCCTCTTGTGCCCAGGTGGGCTTCTATATATATATATGGTGCTCCTAGCTGGTCCCAGGCCTTATTACCTGCTGAGGACCGCAAGGGACTCTGCAGTTCCAGCTCTTTATGTGGATTCCTCCTTTGCCTTGATCTAAAACGAGCCTATACCTAGAGTGCTACATTCAATCATGACTCTATCATGGCTGTTTTAAATCCATGGAGGAAGATGGGGACAACCTCATTCACTCCCCATTGCTAGATGTCAAGACTTGGGAGTCTTCAATCTGCAGGAAGCACTTCACTAAAGCCACTGAGAACTTCCAGAGAGGTCCAGGGCAATCACTCCCCTTTGTCACTGGTCATGAAATCTTTCCAGGGTAGCACTAATTTGCTCAGCTAGTTTCAGGTTCTTCCCAGTGCTCATCTGAAAAGACAAGACAGGTAGGAACAGCTCCGAATGGTTTGGCTCTTTCCCTACCTGTTCTCTTTTTGGTAGCTTATCCATCCTATCCCGAAGCCATTCACTGTGAGATACATGGAAGCTACGACTCTTTCTCAGTAAAAATGGATGCGTGGAGTGTTTAATGATTTTATGTCCTGTATCTCAGTAATGTGTTCTGTTTCAGACATTAATTCTGTCTGCCAACTGCATCTTGGCAGGCTACCATATTTACTGGGTTAATAGTCTGACTCCGTTTCATTTCTATCACCATACATCATACATATAGGGGTGTATGTTTGCTTTATTTATAGAAAAAAAATCAGTCAAAACAGATAAACCAATACTTCGCCATTATGCTGCATCATTGCATGTTGATTAAAATTGCTGCTACTAACTATAGATTGTCAACGCTCAATTAATTTTCACACAGGGACTCCCAGCAAAATCAAATAAAGTCAGCGTACCTTTAAATTTTACAAATCTTAAAATCAGGAACCAAGGCATGGCCTCCATTTTGAATAATCAGCTAAACCTACTAGGAGACTTCCAGAAATGTGTGTGAGTGATACCAACACTGATGTGATCAGCGTATGGTAAAGAACTAGGTTCAAGGCAGGATGTTTGCTTCAGATATCATGTGCCTACCAAGAACTCAACTTTAAGGGCCAGAACAAAGAAATAAGACAAGCAAAGGAGACTTCTAAAAACCTAGGATGAATATCATGTCTGTCTCATCCTAGATCTCTCCGTGACCATCCTGCCTGTCTTTTCCATGAAAGGCCAGAAAGAGTCATCAGGTGAAGGAGGACTTGGGAATTCACGTCTGTCCCCTGGAGCTATTCTCCCAGTGCTTGAGGTGAGAGGCAGAGAAGGAATGCACTAGTTTGTGGTGCCATTTCCCCCTGGTGGGGACCAGAACTTACGGGCTGAGGGGCAGCTTTGGGTTCCGTAGACTTCACATGCAGGTGGGTCATCATGGCTTGCAGGCGCTCTTTGTCTTTTGCAAGCTAATGGGAAGAAAAGGCTTCATTATGTCTTTGAATACAGGTGTGTGACTCTTGAATATCCCAAACTATGCATATCCCAACCAACTACAGCACATGATAGGATCAGTTTTATTACTTCATCATTTGAAATCTATAGGACCCCTGCCAAAGTCAAAGTAACCGGAGGTGTTGATGTGAGATTTCCCAACACAATGTGCATTAGACTTTAACTGGGACATTCTAGACCTGCTGGCACCAAGGAGTCCCAGGGAACATGGACAGCTCAAAGGCAAGCGTGAATCATACCCATTAGCCAAGCTGATTCATGAGGAGGCCAAGGGAAGAGGAGCAGCTACTCACACTCATAAACTCATCTGTTGTGGTTGTGGACAAACTCACAGACACCTGGATACACTTGTGGAAAGTTAGCTGACTGAGTCTGTCTTACTCGGACTGGCAGGTGACCATAGCTGGGAGGAACACGGATACCAGTACTGAGGGCTTCCCATTTTTAGGTGAACAATACATTCCCTGTTTCAGATGTTCAACATCTGAGTCCCCACTAGATGCTCCCTTAATAATCCCAGTATCTCCATTTCATGAAAAGTTATCTTCTGACGTCACAGATGTTTCTAACTGGATGGGCAGAGTGGAAAGTCACTGTTCATTAGATGCTAGAACCTTTATGCTGGCTTTGGACCATTTTGATACAGTGTTAACTTTGTTATATAATAGGGAAGGTGGGGCAAGGACCTCTAATGATGTAGTGAATTACTATGGCCTCCAAAAACAAAATGAAGTCAAGTAAACAGATGTATGTAGCAAGAAGGGACAATGTAGACATGGGAAGAAGGAGTATTTTTGCACAAGTATGCACATCTTCCAAAGCTTCACAGACAGTTTGTCCCAAACAATGCCTTAGAGGCAGGGTGGGGAAACTACCTATTCCTTTAATACCTCAAAGTTGACTTTAAATCTTTAGGAAGCAGGTTTGTTTGTTTTTTTTTTTTTTAAGTCTAAAATTATGCCAAAGTTAAACCCACTTCACATTTTTAACCTAGTTATTTCTGGTGGTGGGGAGACAGGAGGTGGGGGCTCAGGAGTCAGGGGAAGGCAGAGAAGGGGACTGGGTGCAATGGCAGAAGAAAACCGGTGTTTGCCTCTTTCCCAACGGCTGGCTGAGGCAACAGCCATATCACATTTGAATTTTTATTCTTTTTATTCCCTTGTGGTTCAGGGAGGAATAAATTAGGAAGAAGGGGTTGGGGGGAAGCCTTACAGTGTTAGCATTTATCTTTCAACAAACAGGAAATGAAAATGACACCATATTAGGGTCTACTTTACACTACTCATCCTCTGTTCTTTGGTGCATTATTGAACTGCCAAACTAAGATTCTCAAAACACATAATGCCAAAGGAATTTGAGTTTTCATCGTGGCTCAGACAAAACAATTAAAATGCTGGGAATAGCATTTTTCTATGGTTATTCATTTTTTATGTTAAGTGTCATAAAGGGTTTTTGGTTGTTGTTTGTTTGTTTATAGTAAAACTAAACTACTCTAAGATGTCTTTTTTTTTTTTTTAAGTTTGTTTTGAAAACTATCATGGGACTGGAAGGAATTTAGCCATCCATTCACTCTTTCTAAAAACATGAAGTAAGTAGACTGCCCATGCTGAAGAACACAAATTAAAGGGTGAGAGGTGGTATTTACTGAAGAGTCTGCTGAATATTAATTGTGACTTAATTTAGGGGTAAACATCCCCGATGTAGCAATTATAAGGAATAAGTATGGCAAAGAGGAAAAAACCTAAAGCCCCAGCACCAGGGAAGATCCTCTCCTTACCCCCTGAGCCTGACCTTCCAACCGACCAGAGCAACCACAATGTGTGCACAGGACCTCACCCACACCCTGAAGCTTACTGTCACTGGGAACACATCCCACAGACTCCTCTGTGCCGCCCACTTTTCCAGCCTCACTTTCTTACATAATGTGAGAATACAGACATCTTATGGTAGGGAATATACCCTTAGTATTCCCTCTTCACTTGCAATTCCATGAAAAGCCAAGAAAAGGGGGTTGAGAGGCAGTCCAAAGCCAAGTAGCAATCTGGCTGGCAAATTAAAACATAAAATATGTTGTGATGTCAGAAGAGAATTGTTCTTGAAATCTTTCCCCATGATAGGTGGCATTCAGGCAGGACAATGGGCTTCATTAGAGGGCATTCCTGAGCAGGGGTCATTGGAATTAGCTGGTCTGTATACCAACTTTCTTGAAAGACTGCAGAATGGAAGTAGATGATGGACAGGCTATCCCTACTGTGCTGTGTTCAAATTCTGGCCTCTGGGCACAATCTGTAATCCTTCCAAGCATTTCATTTTTTTTTTTCTAAATATGGATTGCTCATCTCTGAACTCATAGGGTTGTTCTGAACATGAGTTCTGTACAGAGCAAGCTCAGTGCAGCGCTAATGAATGCTTCATGGAGGTTAAAAATACCTGCTGCAATTTTTTTTTTTTTTTTAAAGGAGGAATTAAATCAGTCTAGTCTACACTGGCTGGGTATATCTTTGGAATCAGGATCCACATAATGGGGTATAATGGAGTCAGCTGTGAGTCTGGGTGGGGGAGAGAAGTGAGCCCCCTGTTTTAAAGACTAGAACAGGACAGGAAGCACAGGGAAGATGGTGTCTAACTCTGATAGATTTATCTCTGGGCCTGACAGTATCTTGCTCTCGGCTCTGGACAACCAATTTTTCTCCATTGGATGGTATAGGTCACCGCCTCTTCTATCATCCAAGTCTCAAACTGGGTTTTAGACAGGTTGTGGAAGCTCAGAACACATGCACTGCCCCAACACCACTGACAAATGCCAACGACCAGACACTCCACTCAATGTCCGCAAAGACAAAACCCAGGGAGATGTAGCACGGGCCGAGTTTGGGGTTCCCCCACCATCTTCCTTCTCCCCGCTGTCAGGAGGACTCTTTCCAGGGCAATCTGGCAGCTCTTGTTAGTGACACACACAATACTCCACAGAAATGAATGAGTATAAGTACTTTTAAAAGTACTACAGTACAGATGAGGAAAAGGTGTGAGTCATCCATCTGCTTGGACAGAAATAAAGATCACGGTGGCTCTGGGACCCCTTGACTTATGTACTGTAATTGGGGAAATTGATGCACACGGGATGAACACCTGTAAGGCCAGAGCACCAAGGAGGACAGAAGTAAGGCTGGAATCCTGCCTTATAATGCTGGGCCTAACTTTACCTAAAGGGACTGATCTTCAAACTCCACTGGGACCTTCCCTGAATGACAAGAACCTTCCCTCTACCACTCCTTGCCCTGACAAAGGAGTGGGATGAATGGACAGTGGTAGCAGGTAACCCACCAGAGGAGCAGGAGGGATTGAGATGTCCCCAAAGAGACCACCACTAGACTCTGAGGTTTCACTTAAGCCTGCTAGGCCACATAGCAGGAAGTCTGGACTTTTGTAAGGGTCACAAGAGTGCAAATAAAAGCAAAGGAGTCTGGGTGACCCCACTCTTTGATGGACTTCATCAGTGAAGCCCTCACTTTCAGAGCAAGCTTTTACACAACAATGACAGAAAGTACCCAGTTACGCTGCTCCTTCAACAGCACACGATCAAAGCAAAATGCAGAAGGGGTCAGAAACCAAACCCACGTACCCTAAACAGGAGTCTCTGGAAGGAAGGAAAGCAACCCCAAGTCTTCTACCAACCTGGTCAAGCTGCCAAGCAGAAACTCTCTACCCAGTCCACGGCCATGCGCATGCCTTCTGCATTCAGCACCGGGAGAAACTGGGGAAGGTTTCTTAAATACCAACTGCCATGTTCAGCTAGTGGGGGACCCACGGCTCATTTCACCCCAACTCAAGAATTTCCCTACTTTTATTGTGCTCCCTCACCATTTTAACATTCCTCACATGTTGTTATTAAAGACTCTCTTGACATTTAGAGCAGACACATACTAATACTCAGTCATAGTCTTGGAATCCTAATGCTTGCAGACTTAGGCAGGATTTTAAATTATGAAAAATCAGTGTCTTGGTTTTTCAAAGGAGGATGTGGAAGTGAGAAAAGAAAGCCAGACGCTCCCTCTCCCTTTCCCTGGCTCCAACCTTAAAGGCCCGGCCACAGCAGGTCACAGTAAGAGAGACAAGAGGTTCTATGAGGCTGCTGCTATGAGATGTCCTGAGCCTGGCCACATATGCAGTTAGAGAGGGCCAAAGGGGGACATATTACACATAATATATTTGCTGAAGTCTAGGAAGCTGGTGTGATTACAAATAGCCCCGCTAATGGTGGGGTAATCACATGCAAAGCCCACACTGTAATTAATTTGTGTTAGGATTAATGTCTCCCCCTGCTACTGAAACCTGTGCACTTTTCTCTCTGCGGACACTTCTGTGAAGGTTACAGTTCCCAGTGTGGACAAGTTACCCAACTTCCCATTGGTTCCAGAGTCACTGGGCAGAGTGCCTTGGGAAGGAGCTCTAGGAGGCAGGCAAGGAAATAGCATCATAGCCAAACATTAAATCTAGTAACTGATTTTTGAATGGGTAAGCTCAGAACCCTATAGAGAAAGGAAGAGACTGAGCAATACTGAAGGCAGGCAGCACCAGCAATAAAATGGTGACCAGGCTGGGGTTGGAGGCTGGGCTTTTCTCCTATTTACCACTAGCTTCAAACAGGTTTAACTTGATGTTTCAAGCTGCTGGTTCTTAACCTATGGACCACAACTCCTTTGGGGAGTGGAAGGACCCTTTCATGGGTGTTGCCTAAGACCATCCTGTATATCAGATATTTGCATTATAATCCATTAACAGCAGCAAAATTGACATAATTTTATGGTAAGAAGGGGTCACTACAACATGAGGAACTGTATTAAAGGGGCACAGCATTAGGAAAGTTGGGAACCACTGCTCTAAGCAATTCAGTGTCCTTATCTGGTGGGCAAGAAATGAACATGGTATATTTGACTCTCAGATGTCAGTGATA